AAGCTTTTTGTATTGCACTGTAATTGTTGAGACTCATTTTTTTAACCACAAAGCTAAACTCATTCTGACTTACCAAAATTAAAGTCATAAAATTATTGACTTTTGAAAGATATGTTAGATTTTAAGAAAAATTTAGGGGGTGTTATATTTTGTCCAGGAAGCTTTTAGCTCTAAGACTAATATTTTCTTTATTGCACTGATTTGGGAATGTGAAGGATAAGGAGTTGGGTGGGGATGGAGAACAATCTAATGGCCCGAGTCCTTTAGTGTCATCATTATCCCGTCTGCCAGCTCCCCCTGCCAGGCCCCCACCCATTCTGAACGTGATTGTTTGGGCTTCGTTGATTACACGCACATCCCATCTGAATTTTATAACCACTATTTGACGGGAGAAAGAACTTTATTGTAGTCACATAGCTGTGGTGAGCTGCTAGTGAGGAACAGGGAATCTGCATTGAGCTGGGTGTGGTGATTCGCAAGGGTAGTTGCAGCTACTGGTGTTCCAGGCCTAGGCTGCAGACGCGAGTTTTTGCCAGGAGCCTGGAGGCTCACAGCAGTCAGTTAGGGATGAGTTTCCCTCCGCGTTTTCCCGTGGTGTATGGAAGGGAGAGCTCTGGTGCCGTGTGGAATTCCTAAGGATCCTAGGTCTTGTTGTAAACCTTGTTTTTAAAGAAATGGCTGTAAAAAAAGTGCTAAAAACTGTCCAGGCGCTGGGTTCTAATCCTAAAAACTGCACTCAGCTAAAAGCGCTTACCTAGTGTGCACAGGCGCTGGGTTCTAATCCTAAAAACTGCACTCAGCTAAAAGCGCTTACCTAGTGTGCACAGGCGCTGGGTTCTAATCCTGGGCAACAGAAAACTTCAATTTAAAAAGTCATTAAAACTTTCATTTATGTATAAAGAGAACAATGCAAATGGCTTATAAATCTTTTTCTGAAATGGTCTGTGCGGATCATAGTAGTTCTGAAAGTATAATAAATGCCCAGCCCTTCTGCCCTGCTCTCTGTTATAATTTGTCTCCACTGTCAGTGTCTAGAGAAATATTACTATCCCCCGTCTGTGTTTTTAGTAGAAGAGCAACCTCACACTGACAGGCACCTCTGTTTTTAATGCAGCAGTGCACCGTGGACACTTTCCCGTCAGCCTCTGACACTCTTGCTGTCACCTTTTACTCTTTCTGGGCTTCATCACTTGGGTGCCCGGCATTAACTAGTCTTCAACTAGTTTATGAAGAACTCTTTGGTTCCAAGTTATTGCTTTTCGAATGACATTGTTGGAAATAGCTTTGCCCATAAATCCTCTTTTTAATCATTAATTTTCTGCACGATTTCTCATTTTATTTTAAAAAATGTTTATCTTTTATAAAAACAAAGAAAGCAGGGATGGGGGCTATCATATGTAGCTCCATCACCAGGTCCAGTAGGATCACCAGGTCCAGTAGGTTTAGCTGGACTTCTGTGGATTCCACTCCTAGCCTTGTTTGTGAATTTTAAAATAGCTGTAAGACACATACTTTATTTGTGCATGACTTGATATGTATTTCCCAAGGTGGGAGTATTTATTTTCTGCATCATCATTGCTTGCGGTCTGCACTCATCAGTATCGAATCTTTGTCTCATCTTCCAGGCTACCTGCTGATATTCTGAATTGTTTACTGCAGTCCGAAACCGGGGTCTTGTTAAGTAGCAGGGTATGAGATGAAGTCCCTGGCTGTTGTGGACTGCTCAAGTGTGTCAGGACAGATTAGGAATCGAGAAAATAAGCCAAGGGAGGTCTGTTGCAGTAGTAGGGGTGCAGTAGGGGCTGTTGGTGCGTCCATGATGTTCAAGTGCCATGCCCTGGAGGTGCCGTGCAGAGGGAGGAGGAAGTCGAGATGTGCCGGATGCTCATGAGGAGTAATCTACAAACTCAAAGACAGTATCTCACGGGATAGCTGTGTCAGAACCCTCTACATATGACAGTATCTCATGGGATAGCCATGTCAGCATCCTCTACTGATGGAGGAAGGTCATTGGCTAATAAAGGCACTGCCCTGGCCCATTTTATTGGTTAGAGGATAGGTGGGAGGAGTAAACAGAACAAAATGCTGGTAGGAAGAGGAAGTGAGCGCAGAGACTCCACAGCTCTGCTCTCTCGGGAGCAGATGCCTCAGAGAGAGACACCATGCCCCGCTCCCGGCATGAAGCTCCTACCCAGGATGGACTAGGCTAGAATCTTCCCGGTAAGACCGGTTCTCACAGATTATTAGAGATGGGTTGATCGGGATGTGAGAATTAGCCTGTAAGTGCTAGAGCTAAAGGGCCAAGCAGTGCTTAAAAGAATACAGTGTCTGTGTAATTATTTTGGGGCATAAGCTAGCCATGTGGGCGGCCGGGTGTGGGGGACGCAGCCCTGCCGCCCCATATTACTTCACTCTACATGTGACAGTATCTCATGGGATAGCTGTGTCAGAACCCGATACATGTGACAGTATCTCACAGGATAGCCATGTCAGCATCCTCTACATGTGACAGTATCTCACAGGATTGCCGTGTTAGAACCCTCTACATGTGACGGTATCTCACAGGATAGCCATGTCAGCATCCTCTACATATGACAGTATCTCATGGGATAGCCATGTCAGCATCCTCTACATATGACAGTATCTCATGGGATAGCCATGTCAGCAACCTCTACATATGACAGTATCTCATGGGATAGCTGTGTCAGAACCCGATACATGTGACAGTATCTCACGGGATAGCCATGTCAGCATCCTCTACATGTGACAGTATCTCATGGGATAGCCATGTCAGCATACTCTACATATGACAGTATCTCACGGGATAGCCATGTCAGCATCCTCTACATGTGACAGTATCTCACGGGATAAGCCATGTCAGCATCCTCTACATATGACAGTATCTCACGGGATAGCCATGTCAGCAACCTCTACATGTGACGGTATCTCACAGGATAGCCATGTCAGCAACCTCTACATGTGACGGTATCTCACAGGATAGCCATGTCAGCATCCTCTACATGTGACGGTATCTCACGGGATAGCCATGTCAGCATCCTCTACATGTGACGGTATCTCACGGGATAGCCATGTCAGCATCCTCTACATGTGACGGTATCTCACGGGATAGCCGTGTCAGCAACCCTTGTAGATACCTCTACAGTGAGAGGCTGGCCCTCCAGTGAGGGTGGCTCTGTGTTCCTCGCTACTGGGATGACTTAGTGACTGTCTTGGCCCCGCTGTGTCGCTGTGACTCCTATGTGTCCAGTTCTGGGAGTTGTATGAGTGATGTTGGTCCTGGGCCAAGTGTCTGTGCACTGCTTCACAGTGCAGTCAGCTGCAATAAGCCTGTCTGCTTCCCCAGCAAGAGCATTAGGGACATGCAACCAGGGAGTCTATTACCCCAATAGAAACAAAATATAAAATGACTAGGATATGATAAATATGTAATATCCATGTGACAAAACTTTAATTTGCTCCAGAGGGACCAAAAATACAGCTCAAGTAAAAATGGTGCCGTGCTGTTTGTGGCCAGGAACCTGCAGCATGGCGAGCAATATGCACTCTCGTTTAAGCTGTAGTTTGAATATGAATCAATAAAAATATCAATACTTTTTAGGAAATAAGGGGGAATTTGGTTAGCTTACTTTAAAAAATTATTTTGCAAAAGTAGTTAAACAAGCCTTCAAAAATAAACAGGAAACAGACCCAAGATACTTAAAAAACTAACTTGGTGAAAATAGCGTTGCACAAAAATAAGTTATTACAGTCATAAACAACTATATTCATTAATGGCAAAAGTCATTTCTCAAATCATTGAAGAAAAATGGCAATACAGAGGTCTTGGATTCATAGTACATGCTTTGTACAAGTTAAATCTGAAATATATTTAAGATTTACATGCAAAAAAATGTGATATATCATGAAGCATTAACAAAAAAGTTTTTGTATATTCCAAGGTCTTCCTGCCATAGTAACGTGAGGAACCTATTCGTGAAAACCCACTTTAGCAAAGCCAAAAGGCTTTTCTTATTATGAGATCATCCAGGACATGGGAAAGAAACTTTTATATATTACCAATGAGAAGCAAATCCATAATTCTTTATAAAAGATCTGGTAATATCTGAACATGTTATAGTCTGTTACTCAGTACTTTTGCTTGTTTATTTTGAGATGTGGTCTCACTGTGTCCCCCATTCTGGCCTTGAATTCCCAACCCCACTGCCTTGGCTTCCAGAGTGCACGGATTACAAGGATGCACTGTAACCAGGCTTTAGAAATGTATTTTCTATATGTGTGTGCATGTGAAATCTTGTAGGAATGATATTTTTATTGAAGCCATATGGAAACAAAAGCTTTTAAAATCAATGATGTAACACATAAGTAGATCTATAAGAAATAAACCAGGAAGTGCTCTGAGCATCTGGGAGTCTGAGGCAGGAAGATCCCTAAGAGTTTGAGGCCAGCCTGGTCTACAGAGTGAGCCTCATGTCACTGAAGCAGATGAAACCGATTGTGAGCACCGTGCCCAGCCTAACAAGGTACTTTCCTTATGAATCACTTTGTAGTGCACAGAACGGGTGTATGACGGGTATATAAGGTTGTTCTGAGGTTTGTATAGGCAGGCCTACCATGGATGAATTAGCAGTGGTCATTACATATCCAAAAATAGATCATAGCCATTGCCTCTAGGGAAAGAGTGAGGCAGGGGGCTTGGATGTAGACTTTCCACTACATACAAGTTCACACCATTTGACTTTTAGACCTTGTCTGCCCTGCTCATATTAATAAACATGCTGGAGAGAAGGCTCAGCAGTTTAGAGAGCTTTCTTTTATTGATGTCTTTGGATGAAGTAGGAGAAGATGACTGTTTATAAAGTCTGTGGAAGGTTTATCTGGGAAGAAGTGACCTAGAAGGTCCTTCCCAGGGCAGAGGGGTCTTAGGGTTTGGATGACAGTGGTGATGGGCCTCTGATCAGCCTCTTTTCTCCCCATTGTAGAGGAGCTGCCGCGGTCCTCGGCTGTGAGGTTAGCCTCTCTGCGGGACCTGCCAGCCCAGCTCCTGGAACTGTACCAGCAAGGCTTCTCCCTGGCTGCCCTGCACCCCTTTGTGCAGCCGACGAACAGGCAAGAGAAGAGATTCCTTGAGCACATCTTCAGGGCCATCCTGGTCAAGAAAACCAACAGGTAAGGACCCCGCAATGTCAGTCCCATGTTGTGTGGAGACTGAGGCTTCTGGATGTAGAGGAGGGTGGGTTTGTGTGTCACCACCAGGGCCTTGCCTTCTGACAGGGAGATGTTCCATGGCAAGAAACAATGCCATGTCCAGCTGCAAGAGGAGTTCAAGTTTTATCCTCTCAGCTAGAACAATGTCTTCTCGGAAGAAGCATGCTCCCAGAATCATACAGCCAGGAAAAATATAATAAAACCATTAATCTGAAAAGCCAGAGTTGGAAACAACATTTTATTAAAGGCTTTATACAGGCTCAATGTTTCCCTCCAAAGTTTAGAAATACTTCAAAATTTTGAATTCACAAGAAGTTCTGTCAGTCACCTCCGAAGAAAACATCTCTCCTACCCCCACCTCCCGCCCCAAACCCCACACTTCCTGCCCTCACCCCCACTCCTACAGCATACCCCACACCTCCCACCCCATACCTTCTGCCGCACACCCCCACCTCCCACTCCACACCCCACACTTCCCACCCCATACTCCCACCCCACATCCCCCACCTCTCGCCCCACATCCCTCACTTCCTACTCCATACCCCACACTTCCCTCCCCACACTCCAACCGCATACTCCTACCTCCCATCCCCACATCCCTTACCTTCCACCCCACCTCCCACCCCACATCCTTCACCTCCCACTCCACACCCAATACTTCCCACCCCACATTCCAACCGCACACTCCCACTCCACATCCCCCACCACCGCCCCACATTTCTCACCTCCCACCTCACATCCCCCACCTCCCGCCCCACATCCCCCCACCTCCCGCCCCACATCCCATACTGTCATTGTGCTGGTTGTGGTTTTAACTTGGTAGATGCCTATAGATGATTTCAGGCTAGTTTGTCCAACCGAGTATTACTTTTACATTTTGACTTGTGCCTAAGTGGGAAAAGAGAAAGATTTAGTTTTTCAAATGGAGAAATACTCTTTTAAAATCCTTAAAAAATGATAAAAGCAGAAAGTACAATAGGTCTAGCTACTTTTATAATATTAAAATTTGAAGCTGGGTGTGGTGGTGGATGCTGTGATTCCATCTCTTGGAAGGTGAAAGCAGGAAGGTCAGGAGTGAGTCCCAGGCCAGTAAAGTCTAGGCTCAACTACACAGGCCAGTCTCTGTTACAAGAGACTCCAGCTTAGTAAATACTAAATAAATAAATTGAAGTTTGAGAAAGGAAATTGGATTTAGCCTCTGGCCAGCAGTCTTGGAAGGAATGGGCAACAAGACTCATGTTTTAAAGTAAAGGGAGCAGGCAAGTCATGCTCGCCTTTTAAAAGTCTCTTTGCAGTGGCTCTGCATTGACCTAGCATAGTCACAAGGGACAGCTGTGGGCATGAGGTGACATGCCAAGATGGACTTCTCTTTATTTCATAGCGGCTTCTCAGGCTCTGGGCGCTAAGGTGGAACTTGTTGGTCCTGGGGCCCTGTGTGCTTTGTAAGGGGACACCGCAGTGTCTGTCTGTGTTTTCATGCTTGTTTCTTTGTGTCCATTGGCTGTGGATCAATATCTGCTATAATCACATGACGAAATTATTCTGGGGACCATAGTGGTTTTAATTTACGCAGACACACAAGATATTCATACAGTGTCAACAGCTTATGTTAACTGAGCATTCATTGTGTGCCACATATGATAACTATAATTTTGTCTGCATCAACAGCTCATGAAATAGGAACACTGACTTCCTCCTAGCTTTGCAGGGTAGAGACCCAGAGACATGCAGTACGACCACAGTCCAAACTGAGACCCAGAGACATGCGGTACGACCACAGTCCAAACTGAGACCCAGAGACATGCAGCATGACCACAGTCCAAACTGAGACCCAGAGACATGCAGTACGACCACAGTCCAAACTGAGACCCAGAGACATGCAGCTTCCCGCACCTGCCTGGAGAGAACTCTTCCACACAGCAGCCTCAAATGCATTTTACAAGGAGCTTCTAAAGGCAAAACAAAAAACAAACAAAAAACACAGAAAAACTGCATCCTAGTTGCCAGTTGCAGCAGGGGTAAAGCAGGCAGGCAGCTTAACAGAAACCAAGAACAAGCAGTGAGCTGGGGCATTTTGACTCAGAGTTTCTAGAACAGGGTTAGTCACTTTCAAGGCAAGGGTAGAGAAAGTTGGGACTTTTCGCAGCAGGTGGGGTGGGGTCGAAAAAGGAAGACTCAGTTTCAGGTTAAATCAAAGATGGTTCCAGCTGAGACAAGATGGAGCAACCTTTACCCTTTCACACTAGGACACCAACTTCCTTCCATGCCTCCATTCTTAGCTCTAGATGCTCTCAGGAAAGAGGCTTACATTCCCCACTCTCCTCCCACTTTACCCATCAACCTTCAGAGAAAACAAAATTTTGATATGGAATAAACAAAACAACCTCACCATGTGTTGCATAAGCATAGCCAGGCTCCAGTGATGCTGCTTATCGGGCTGGTTTTTCAGTCTTGGTGTTTAGAGGAGACACACACCTGGGCTGCTGTGGGAGAATGCTCTTGTACACTGTATGATTTGCCACTCATATTAGTTTAATAAAATGCTTACTGGCCACTAGGTAGGCAGGAAGTATAGACAGGGTGATCAGAAGGAGAATTCTGGGAAGAGGAAAGGCAGAGAGAGTCAGTCACCAGCCAGAAGCAGAGGAAGCAAGATGAGAATACTGCACTGAGAAAAGGTACCAAGCCATGAAGTTAAACATAGGCAAGAATTATAGGCTAGCTTAAGTTGTAAGACCTAGTTAATAATAAGCCAGAGCTAATAGGCCAAGCAGTTTATAGTTAATATAAGCCCCTGTGTGTTTTTTTGGGACTGAACAGCTGTGGGACCAGGAAGGACAGAAAATTCTGCCTGCACTGGGGTCAAGTTGTAGGGGTGGCCTCTGTGTGCTCTGCTGTGGGCGGTGATGCTAGCACAGGGCCTGGATGAAGTGTGGGTATTACAAATGCACTAGAGCAGATATGAAGCTATGCCTCTTCCTCTTTTTACACCCGGAGTAGCACTCCCAAGCTAATTTGTCTGCAGGTCTCCTGGGGATGCTGTTAAAGCACATTCTGGTTCAGCATGTCTGAAGTCAGGCCTGAGATGCTGCATCTCCAGTATGGTCCCAGATGATGCTGACCTCATTGATTCATGGACCACACTTGGAGTAGCAAGGGTGGAGAGGTCCTGACTCATCCTTATGTATCACCCACACAGTTAGGGTTTACCCTTCTTCTGTCTGGGGCAGGGCCCAAGGCTCCTGGGTGGAGGGCCCATGTTCCAAGTTGCATGTGGTCTCTGGGAAGGGCTATCGTGCCGGGGAGCATCAGTGGAACTTTCTGAGCCTCCCATTGTATACTTGACACAATGAGAGTTTTATAATTGATGACTTGCAAGGCATATTTAGTCACATGATCAGATGAGCTGGGTGACGATGCCACTGTTTAAGAGCAAACCGGATCCCCATTTTGTCCCTTACAAGCCAACCAGGACAGCCAGAGGGTTAGAGAGGGAAGAAGAAAATAAGGTTCTGAAGATCAAGACACTGGTGTTTGGGAGCATTTTCCAGAGGAGAAGGTCCAGTGACTGTGACTGGAGTTCATTCTCTGCCCCTGGATGCCCAGTCCACTGTCCCATTGGCTCTAACACACATCTTCTGGTCAACTGAGGAAGAGAAACATTAACTTTGTGATGAGTCTTTGGAACTGATTTTTTTTTTTTTTTTAAAGAAAGCTACAAAAAAATCTGGCAATGCACCAAGTGAAACCAAGGAAGCATGGCCAGTGGATCTCCATTTCCATCCTGAGGGTATTGGGCAGGAGGAGGCATGGCCAGTGGATCCCTGTTTCCATCCTGAGGATATTGGATAGGAAGAGGTGAAGGCTGAGCAGGGTCATAAGAAACACTCTTAAAGGTGCTTTTGTCTCCGGTGCAATTACCGTGTTTCTGCATCAGGGACCCTCCCCCCACCACACACACACACACACACACACACACACACACACACTCACAAGCAAACAAGCAAGCAAGCAAACAAAAAATTCTCAAAGCTCTGTATCAGCAGGTAATTGAAGAAAGAAAAACAGAAGAAAGCTTACATGATTAAATTTTAACATGAACAGATAAACCCATACTTTTAGCAAAGACTGCCAATGTCTGACAGCCATAAATACTGTTAAGTGAAATTATTTAGCTCTGGAAAGAGGAGTGAATGAGTCCTAGCTAATATTTCTCAAGTAGGGCTCACTGACAGAGTGAGGAAAACTGCCTGCTCTACTCTGCCTCCAAATGAAGTGTACTGGCAGAAAAACCCCAGAGCAACTATTTGAAGCTGGGTAAACCTGCAGCATTTGAGCCATGAACACAAAGTTTTTGGCAACTAGCCAGACTTTGCGTATGCAACATTATAATCAAACAAGCAGAAACCCAGCTTGATTCAAGCTTATATCTATCCCCCATCCATCTGTCCCCCATTTATTCATCTATCCATCCATCCATCCAGCTCCCCATCCATCCATCTACAAACATCTATTAAGGTTGTAAGAATATCATAGGTATTCTTCGTTTATTTCTAGACCATCATGACAAGCAGACATAATAAATAAAGCAAATCACATTTTTTTTCTTTCCTAGTGCATATAGCAGCTCTCTCTACATTGTATTATATTCTTATTAAGTATGTGGTAAAGCTTTATGTTTTTTTTAAATGCACACACCTTCATTTAAAAAGTAGTTTATTGATGAACAGTGCTAATGGTTATATAAGCTGTTAAGAAAATGGTATCAGTAGACAGGCTCAGTACAGCTGCGACAAACCTCTGGATTTGTAAAACACGGATTAGCCGCAAAGCATGGTAAAACAAGAGTCCCGTGTTCTCGTTAATACGATGTTCCAGGAGCCGTACCTGGGGGAAGGTAGAGCGCTCCGTTAGATATAGGATTTGCTCTCCCGGGACCAGCTGTCTGGTTGAGAAATTAC